TAGAGATGAATATCCTATGTGTTAGGCGGAGGCTAGTTTGAGATTTCCGAGTACGAGACTTTTACTTACTAGCTTACGAGGTGAGTCTTCTCACTATACTTACCATGAGTGGTACCTTTGTGTGATTGAGATGTTTATTGTGCTTATCTGTGTATCTTAATATTTTGCATCATGTCTTGTGATTTATGCTGAGTATTGTTATTATGAGCTTATTGAGTTGGGACCAGAGGGTCCCACTGAGACACATTGACCGAAGGGTCTTATTGATTTATATCCTAGAGTGGCTAATGAGATGTGTGTGGTATTTTGGGGAACTCACTAAGCTTCTGCTTACCGTGTTATGTGTTTCAGGTACTTCTCAGGATCACGGGAAGGCGCCGACTTGATTGTACACACACCTGCGTCAGAGATATGTTTTTGGAGGATCCTGGATTTGTGTTATAAACAGTTTTTGATACATGTGTTTTGATAACTTGATGTTTGTGGAAATTGTGATTTTGAAATGAGATATTTGGGTTTTTAAATGAAAATTTACGGTGTTACATTCTAGAGACGCTTTAGAGTTATTTTTAGCCTTTATTGAATAGTTTCTTTTTTTTATTAATTTCCTTTTATTTTGTAATCGTTGTTAGGCTATAAATAGCCCCAATGTCGCACATTTTGAAGCATAATTGAATGAATTTTGAATTGAAGAACTTTTGTTATGTTGAGTTGTGTACTCGCCCCTTTGATAATTCTCTAGGACATGTATTCTAGGTTGATTCAAATTCAAATCAATAGGTCTTGATTTGTCTTCATCGATACTCAATCTATTAGTCTAGATTGTTTATAAAATCTATCATTTTTCTTGTTTTCTTGTCGAGCAAGTTATCATTGTTCTTGTTTTCTTGTCGTTATTCTAATTTTCCAATGCGTTCATAAAATCAGAAAACCCAAAAAGAAATCAAACCCCCCATATTTGTATCATATTTGGTATCAAAGTGTCATATTCGTATCATATGTGGTATCAAAGCTAAAAATTCCTACATAGTTTGTTTGAAGATTTCAGTTTCGATTTGCTGTTTGTTTTGGTGGAATTCGATTTGCTGCTGTGATTTTCGTATTTGATTTTTCTGCCCAGATTTGTCTGTTGGTGTGTTGAAATCACATTAGGAGCAATGAATTTTGAAGATCCAAATTTTATGAATGCCTTGCGAGAAGCTATCCGTGGATTGTAAGAAGAAGAAAGGCGACATTATAGGCATGGACCGTTAAGGATTATTGAAGATTGCAAGATAAACGAATTTCCCGGGTTCATTGGTGGAGTCGATCCAAAAAGTTCTTTGGAGTGGGAGAGAAAGATAGACCAAAATTTTTGAGTACAATGAATTGGACGATGATAAGTGTTGTAAGTATGAAATCTTGAAATTGAGTGGAGGAGCCTCGCTTTGGTATAGAGGTTTGAAGACTAGGAGAACTCGTGAAGGAAAAGAAAAAATTACTTCTTGGGTGTCCTTGAAGTAGAAACTTCGGAAGCGATATGTGCCGGTTCACCGTAGGACGACCACTGATAGGAGGATGGCAAATTTGAAGCAAGGGAAGTCGAGTCTGGGGGAATACATTAATGAATTCGAGAAGTTATCGCTATTGGGAGACGTTGAGGAAGTAGAAGAACAAAAGATGGCTCGTTTTTTCGTGTGCTGAATTATAACATCTCTGGTACGATGGACCTTTACCCTTACTCTTATTTTGATACACTTTGTGTCCTTTTTTTGATGTTTGAAGCCCAGACGAAAAAGGGTTATGAAGTGAATTCTAGTTTGGAAGTTGCGAACACCAAGACTGACGCCTCTACTTCTGTAGATGTGAATGGTTATTCGGCAGTTGGTGCGAAAGGTTCATCGTTGGTTCATAAAACAACTGTTCCAGCCAAAGAGACGAAGGAGTTCAGTTTGTCGAAAGTATGATGTTTCAAGTGTCAAGGTTTTGGACATTATTAGAATGTTTGTCCAAACAGAAGGGTGGTAACATTGATAGATATTGTTGAAGTTCGTGATAAGTTACATGTGGAAGAAGAAAGAGTTAATAATACTTTTGTAACTGAAGAAGCATGTGAAGGCGAAAAAGAAGAGGAAAAGTATGTAGTGCCAAATTATGATACGATTTTGGTTCTTAGATCATTGCAAACATAGGTGGTGCAAATTGATTGCGATCAAAGAAACCAATTGTTTCATACAAAGTGTCGTGTGAAGGATAAGTTGTGTAGTTTAATTATAAATGGTGGGAGTTGTACGAACGTTGCTTCTACTGAGATGGTTGCGAAGTTGGGTTTAGTTACTGTTGATCATCCTACACCATATGCAATTCATTGGTTGGATAGTAGGGACAAAGTAAAAGTAACAAAACAGTTCAAGGTTGGTATAGCCATGAGATTATATGAAGATGAAGTTTTGTGTGATGTGATTCCAGTGGATGCTTGTTATATTCTTTTGGGACGTCCATGACAATTTGATAAGGATGTGATACATAGAGAAAGAAGCAATGAATACGAGTTGAGACATAATGGCAAGAAAATTGTGTTATCGCCTATGTCTTCCACTGAAATGAGATTGATGCTTAACAAGAAGTCCAAGAAGCCAAACCTCGCCATGTTGGTTAACAATGGAGAAGTTAAACATGTTTTTGATCAAGAAGATACGATGGCTAAGGAGGAATCAAAGGTGAAGGAGATTGTAAAAGTAGAGAACTTGGATGGTGATTAGACAAAGAACAAAATGGAGTCTGTGAAAGTTGATTCTCAACCATTTCTTAAGATGAATGCTCAATCTAATGTTCGTTCGATGCCAAAAGATGTTGAAGAATTGTTAAGTCCAACTGCGGTTTTGAAGAATGATCCTAACCAGAGTAAATTTGTTAATTCTTTGCTTGATGTTAGTGATGTTGAATTTGGTGTTAAAAATAATTTGGGTTTGGAGAAAAAGATTGTTGATTTGTCCAAAAGTGCGATTGGGGATGTTGATGATCGCATGGAATTGAGGACAGTTCCTTTTAAAAGGGGAGGGAATGATGCGAATGCGAAAGGCAATTTAAATGAAAAAGGTGTTGGATGTGAAAAGGCTGATGGATGCGAAAAGAGTATTGGATGCGAAAGGGGTGTTAGATGCGAATCACCTAAATTACATTACCCACACCCGAATGGGTCTAAATCTTTCTTTTCCAAAGGCCCTAAGCCTTTTGATACCCGCATTAGGAAACGATTCGGAACAGGGCGCTACATAGATCCAATAGGTTGCATGTGAACTTAGGGTTAAGTTTTTTCCACCACATATTTTTTTGTAATAGGTTGCATAGTTTTTCCATGCGTATTCTAGGTTGATTTTAATTCAAATCAATAGGTCTTGATTTGTCTTCATCGATACTCAATCTATAGGTCTAGATTGTTTATCAAATCTATCATTTTTCTTGTTTTCTTGTCGAGCAAGTTATCATTGTTCTTATTTTCTCGTCGTTATTCTTGTTTTCCGTTGCGTCAATAAAATCAGAAAACCCAAAAAGAAATCAAACCCCCCGTATTCGTATCATATGTGGTATCAAAGTGTCATTCGAATCAAAACGAATCAAAAATCTAAATATCTGAATCAAATAGTTCAATTTAAATTGTGTAATTGGACAGAGAATGAACAACCTAACTCTTACAAATCATTATCCCATAGTTATGGTATAGTTTTTTCATAAAAAAAGATTTTTTTTTGTGTAATATTATTAAAAAAAAATAATTGTGGCAAGTTCTTTCACACAATGTAACATTTGACGCCATCTTAATTACATATAAAAACAAAACAATGAAAATTAAAAACTTAAATCTTACTAGTATTATAAATTATACGAGGGAATAAGTATGGTGGAATCGAATTTTTGTAATGTATCATCTCTGTAATAATGCATCAAAGACCGTCAATCATCTCTTTATGGGTTGTAAAGTGACGATGTCTTTATGACGCTTAACCGCTCGTTGGTGGTATATCCCGGTCCTTTTGTTTTGGCAAACGATTGGCTTTGTTGGGTGGATCATCTTTCGTTTTGCGTTACATAAAAAAAAGGTTTTGATGCGGTTGTTCTCACAAAAATTTGTTTTTTTTTTTTTTTGATTTTTGATTTTGATTTTGATTTATTTATTTATTTATTTTTGCAATCCTGGCATTTTTCAAACCACGAAGCCGAGGAAATAAATTATTTTTGATACACTTGTTGCTATTTTTTTAACTGGATTTCAAGTATACGAACAACAACAAGACTGTATTCAAAACTAGCAAATATGCTAGAAAATTATAATATATCGTACAAGGCTCCTTAAGCCAATCTATCCACACAATTCTTTAGAACAATTGCATAAAACATAGACCACGAGCGGTCTAAGTCCGGTCTTATATCGGTTTGTGATTTGAGACTTCAAACGGTCTTGAGTCAGTTTTACCTTCAGATCGGTCTTATGATTTGTATTTGAAAAAACGGTGTTGACTGGTCTCATTTCGGTCTAAATCAATCTTGGACCACTAGGACCCGTATCACCAATCATTTTTTCCCAATAAATCGTCCTAGTAATAACACCCATGGGTTCCAAGCATTTTTATCTTTCTTGTATTTTCCCATTCCAAGATATTAGCTATCTGATGCAAGTTTACCTATTCTTTTTGGTATTCACCTTAATAAAATATCGTATAATTTTAAAGTTTAATATTCTTGGATCTGTGACCGCTAGGACCAAAACCCATGACCAAAAAAAAGACTTCGATTGCTTGAATCCTAATTTGTTCACATCTAATTTACAAATACAAAGGGATCCTGTTTTTCACCCAAAAGATTAAATGGATTAACTTGCTACCGGAAATTAATTAAAGTTGACATTTTGTGGATAAATAACTCCCTGTTTCTCCACATCTTATATATGTCCTTAAAAATTTTTTTTTTATAGCTTAAAAGGGACATAAAACATGAAAATAAACACATAACAACTTATCATGAGAGGAGATTCAACTTATAAACCTTCATGGTCAAACATTTGCAAGTTTATAAAGAATACATATTCAGTCATCACTACAGACCTCTTCCAACAACTCCATAAACCCCTTACCATTACTACACTCATTACTAGTATTAGTAGTAGTCTGTCCATGTCCACCAACAGATGCTTTGAACCGAAGCTCATGACCAGTTGCTGCTTCAAATCTCATCCACAATTCTTTCTTTAAAGTATTCTCCCCAACACGCTTCCCTCTTAAAACCGTTGTGTCAAGATCCTTACACATTGGCGTACTATCAATAACTCCTGATTAAAATTAAATCCACAAATCCAAAAAGTCAAACAAATACACAAGTAAACTAACAAAATTTAAATGGTTGTGTACAAGTGGAGGAGAGAGAAAAAAATCAAAAAAACAAAACGTAATTACAAAAAAAAAAAAAACATATGTACCTTTATCGCGAGGCTTGTGGAAGTTTATGTCAACATCTTTAATCACAACTTTATCATCATCACTAGGCTCCAACAAAACACAAGTCTTAGGTGGTGAAATACACCAATTTGGTGATGCTTCAACCGCTTTTCTTGAATTTCCCATTTTATCCCCATGTTTAATTCCAAAAAGCTCTGGATATTTCAAACCTAAATGTCCATAACCTTGACTACTACTAGAAGAAGGTTCAGAATCTCCACCACCATTGATTGCAGCATTCTTAACACCCCCATTAGTCTTCTTGTTGTAGTGTTCAGAAGCAGGTTCTAATAATATACAAGACTTTGGTGGTGACATTTTTAAGTAAGGAGTAGAAACAATGATAGAATTATTATCATTATTAGTAGTATTGTTCCTTTTTAACACCTTTTCAGGTGAAGAAAATTCACTGGTGGCAACAGGAAGATCATTGGTTATGTTCTTGAATACTGATTTGGAGGATTTCTTTAGTTTGGATGTGAATGCTGAAGGTTTAGGCAAAGGGGTAAGCATGAAAAGGCTTCTACCACCTTCTTGAGTACACTCAGCATGCCATGATACTAATGGTGAAGGAGAAACCATGAAATCGAGTTTGTATGATTCTTGGTTTTCAAGAGGTTTGTTTATAGAAGAGGATGGAGGTGTTATCTTCTTACTTGTTGCTAGAATTGTTTCTAATTGATTCTTGGAGACTGTTGTATCATTGGTTGAAAGAAATTTCTGGAATCTTGGAATCCATGGCTGTGTTTGGGAAATCAATGAAGAATGTTAGAATGATACACAATGGGAATGTGAGAAAGGGTACTGAAAATATTGGCTATGTGTACCTTTAGTGAAGTTTGCATTTTGTTCAATAGGTGAGCAAAAGATTCAATTTCTTTCTTGTTCCTCACTTTTTGTTCCAATGCTTGTACTACAAGTTCATCGATCTGCACATGAGGGTTTGAGTCATTCAGAAGTTCATAAATAAAACATAAGGTGACAAATGTCAATTGGCATTAACAATACAAAATGCATTGTTTCTTGAATGTTTCATATCATTTTGTAGTTGCGAATGGAAAAAAGCATCTACTCTATCTCACACAATCACAATGGAATGTTCAAGTTCAATACAGGTGCAGAATGACCATGTCTCTATAAGTTTTTATCAGTCATATGACATGGTTAATTAGCCTAACTTTAAGCCATCAAATTTCACCCCTGGTGTTTATCACTCACAAAATTAGTCCAGCTTCACGAACTAATAAGTCTACTGTTAGTTGAGACGAAATGAAGTGATATAGAACTAGAACACGATAAAACCTCTCTTGAATGTGAAGATATGATGTAAAACCTACATCGAGCGACAAGAAACGCCCAATTTTCAAAAAGGAACATTCAGAGAGCTTAAAATTTTGGTCAAAACCCTTGATTTAATCATCCCGGAAGTTCTTGCGAGTATAATAGTATAAACATTGTTCTCAAAACTTGAAAGTTACCTGGTGAATGAGGACGGAGAGATCGGAGTGAACAAGGAGAAGTCGATCGAGTGGGTCTCGGCTTGCGCCGTCGCCACAAATTGTAACCGGATCTTGCTGTTGGGTATCGGCGGTCGATTTCTGAATTACCGGATTACGAACGGAAGATTTGAAACCACCATTTGAGACGTCTCTGAGAGGCTTCCTCGTCGATCTGGCTTTGGATTTGACGTCGGCGATCTTTGGCATTCTTCTCTTCTGGTCCTAACGGTAACCTGAGCGAGCGACTCCCTCTTCTCTGTTATTTTCGAGTTTTCAAATCTTTGGATTTTCGCGTATCATTTGTTCCGGATATTGCCCACATTCCTTACATTTATATTCAAATTTATTTTTGATTAAAAACTTCAAATTATATTATTGTATATTTTTATTAATCTCTATTATATATAACTTAAGATGATTTTTGGCGATTTTTTGCAAAGAACGTTTTTCTAGGCTATGTGGCATCCCTAATCGGGCTTGATCTGAGAATAACAATCTCTAGAACGACCTTCTTTTTCTGACGTGGTGTTCGTTTAGAAGTGACCATTCAGTTGGTTTTTGTTACGAGTTATGTTTGGCTGTTTAGTGACAATTTTTGATCTTTCGTCAGGTGTTTGTGCTTTTTCACCTATCGTGAAATTCTTGTGCCTCCAAGATGCATTGTAACCAATTGGATTGTTCAGATGCTTCCTTATTGATTTAATATGTAATTATTGGAGCATAAAATGTTCTACAATGGTGAATCATTGTTAGGTTAGAATATTATCTTGTATGAAAATATATTCCTCCACCGGTATATAAAATAAAGGTGTGTGGTCATTTGTAAGAGTACAACTATGTATCACATAATCAATGTTTTAAAAATCGGTTTTTTAGTTGAACCGGTATGGTGACCGGTTTCCGGTTCAACCGGTTTAACCGGTTCGACCGTTGACTAAACCGGTTTCTATAATTTTCATATTTTTTCGTATTTTTCTACACATACATAGATACACAAATCAAGAATTTGATATCCACAAGTTCAAACATTAAAATACACATGAAAACAAGTTGTAGATCAATCTACATACATTAAAATAACTCATAACCATAAGTGCATTAAAAAGAAAATAAAGTTCTAAATGAATATAAACGCATCAAAAAACATCATAACATTTATCATGTGCTTTAATTCAGAAATTTTCTAATAAATGTGAAAATACTACCAAAGTTTATTATGCAAAAGGTTTCAATTTCATGTGTTTTTATTCAATTTAACCGGTTTAATTGAACCAGTTCAACCGGATTTTTGTAAAAACCGGCCGTTTCGATCCGGTTCAGAAATAGACTTAAAACCGGTGATAGTTCAACCGCTCCATTCCCTGATTCCCGGTCCAACCGGTTCGACCGGCCGGTTCAAACCGATTTTTAAAACATTGCACATAGTTTAGAAAGAGTTGGTTGCAGGGACGACCTATGAGCCAGACAAACTGGGTGACCGTCCCGGGCACCCAAATACCAAAAGGCCCCCATTTTATATGGTTATATAATGACTTCCCATTAATTTTAAGCCTAATGGACTAATTTTTCAAAGGCTAAGTATTAGAATCAGGTGATGCGCTGGGTCTAAAAAAGGGAGCGGGAGTTAAAATTAACCTACCGTGTGTTTCCACTTTCCAAGGCGTCAACATCTCTCTGTTTGTATGGAAAATCCATATATTGTCTGATTCTCCAAAAGGCAACTCCAAACAATTAATAGTAAGTTCTCCGTCTTTTATTTCTTAACTAGGCGAGTGCTCGCGCATTGCGCAGAATAGGAAAAAAATTATTTTATATTAAAAATAACTAAATCATTGTTATTAACAATTAAATAATAATTTCATAACAAATATAAAAAATGATTTTTAATATTATCATTATGCTGAACTATATTATAATAGATAAGGTCCGAACTTGAAGTTGTTGTGCATATACAAAGTTATATGGTTAAAATAGAAAAAAAAATATAAATTTTAAAAAATAAATAAATCATTATTGTTATCTATTAAATAATAATTTCATATTAAATTAAAACGTTTATATTAAATATTATCATTATGTAGAATATATGATAATAGTGACATCTTTTTATCTATCTTAAATATTATTATTATGTACAAAATATGATAATAGAGACATCTTTTTATCTTAAATAGTAATTTTTTTGTATAATAAATATTACTATAATTACGTAGAACATATGATAATAGCGATGTCTTTTATAAGGTTAGAACTTAAAATTGTATTACATACAGAGTTGTAAAATTTGGCTAAGACAACCAAATACTCGGTATGTTACATAAACTCGACCTCCAATGGAAGCGAGTTTGCCTAACTCAGCCAAAAGACACTCGAATATTAATCAAACTCAATCCAAATCTAAAAAATTCAGTCCAAAATCATTTTAAAAATTCTGAAACTTAATTGGTCACTTGTCAACAAAGACAATCTCACCAAAGAATACCCTCAACGTCATAAAAAGATAGACGCAAGGAAGATCTCATGATTTAGTCCCTTTGAAATATTTCACAACCTTTCCTATTTACAGAGGACGATACATTCTCTTGTTACTCGCACCATCGATGTGGGATGAAGACACTTTAATTAAACTCTGTTCTTTATTTGCCAATAATTTCATTTTGTTAAATAAAATATTAAATAATAAAAATAAAACGTTATCCGAAAAATTTATTGTTCAATAGTTCCATTTTTCAGTAATCTCGTAAGTTGCTATCCAAAAAAGTTAGTTTTTATTGAATAATTTTTTGTTAAATCCTAAAATCATAAATTCAGTTAGGTACTTAATATAAAATAGTTTGTTTATATGTATTTTCATGATTGAAAAGGTCATTATAAAATGAATTCATTTATAAAATATAATCGATTATATATTTCGTGCTTTTGAATCAAAGTGATTTTTCAAACAAGTATAATTTTAAGTTTAGGTATATTTTTTTTTATATTTATATAACATTATGTAACTTATTTATAATATTATTAGAAACAATTTGAATAATCATGGGAGTTACAAATATATGTGGTGAAAGGAAAATGTTTCCTTTATCGGTCCAAATTGATCTAGCTCCGATTCAACTCAATATTCCCACCTACATAACTTCTTCTTTCTACTGAAACACGGTTTGAACCTGGAAAAATTCGGTTCAAAACCAATTTTGGAATTCTAAAACTTAACTGGACACTTGTCAATATAGACAATATCACCAAATAATACTCATAAAATCATACAAAGGTAGGCATAAAGAAGTTCTGATGGTTTAGTCCCATTGAAACATTTCATAACCTTTCCTATTTACAGAAGAGAAAATGTTCTTTTGTTTACTCTTATCATTGATGTGGAATGAAGACATTGTAATAAAACACCATTTTCTTGTTTATAGAACGTTATTTAACTTAATTATAATATTATTGTAAAGAAATTGAAAAGTCATGGGAGTTTCAAATGAATGTGGTGAAAGGAAAAATGTTTCTTTTATAAGTATACTAGGCGAATACCCGCGTGTTGCGCAGAAACACCTATATAGTTGAAATCTTTACAAATATATGTTTTTTTTTAAATATAACAATAACGTTGACGTTAAATTTGATATAATAATTTGTATACTAAATTGATATAATATATTGATTATTTTGAATCATATGATAATATATACATCTATTATAACTGTATAATCTCAACCGTTTATGACTTCTAACCGCGAGTTAAAAATAAATAAAATTAAATATAATTTATGGATTAATGTTATTTATAGTTTTTGTTATTGTTAATTAATTTTTAAAATTTATTTTCTTAACGTTTTAATTTCTATCATTACAATTATTTAAAACACCAGACATTGTTTTTTGATTTTAAAGGTAACAATATAATCATTTATATATAATTATTTTTAACTATTGTTATTGTAAGTCATTTTAAACTACTTATTTGAAAACTTTTAACGATTATATAAATATCTTCAGGAAATATTTTAGTTAAATTGATATTATGATTTAGTTTTTCATTTAGCACTACAATTTATCACTTTTAACTATTCACAAAATATTCATTGGGTTTTTTCATGTGGAACTGAAATTTATATTTAAGTTGACACTGTAATGTTATATTTAAATTAACAGTTTAAGTATTTTGTCCAAACTGTTCCAAAGTTGTAGCTTTAAATTGATAATGGTTTACATACAACAACATATTAAATCTAATAAATTAAGTATAATATGTTAAAAGTTAAAGACATAACTTTATAAGTAGAAGTAAATATATTATTTTAATATTGAAATTTAGTTTATTTATGATTACACTTTAGGTTTGGTATTATTTAACATTATTAACCAAATTATAATCATTATTAGAAAGACACTATAACTTATCAATTTTAACTATTTACAAAATATTATTTGGGTTGTTTAAGTTAAACTAAAATTTATATTTAAGTTGGTCCTGTAATATTATATTTAAGTTTGTAATTGAAATATTTTATACAAATTGTTCAAAAGTTGTAGCTTTAAAATGATAATGGTTTACATTCAACAGTATATTAAAACTAATAAATTAAGTATAATATGTAAAAAGTTAAAAAACATAACTTTATAAGTAGAAGTAAAAATATTCTTTTAATATTGAAATTTAGTTTATATATGATTACACTTTAGGTTTGATATTTATTTGATCTTGTTAACCAACTTATAATCATTATTAGAAAGAAACTGAAAAGTCATGAGAGTTTCAAATGAATGTGGTGAAAGGAAAAATACATGGGAGTTTCAAATGAATGTGGTGAAAGAAAAAATGTCTCATTTATAATATAGTATGATGATATGATGATATATAGATATAGATATAAATATACATATATAGACTAAGTTGCACGGAAACGGATACGGCAACGGAAAACGGATACGGAACAGAAACGGGAAACGGCAAAACTCAAAAATTCAAGATACGGATACGACAATATAAAAATATGAAAACACACACACACACACACACACATATATATATATATATATATATATATATATATATATATGTATATATATATATATATATATATATATATATATATATATATATATATATATATATATATATATTAAAGAAATTCCAAAATATGTTCTTGAGAAGCCATATGATAATAATCGATTTCTGAATTGGTGGGTGCCTGAGTGGTGAATTTTTTCTTGTTCTGTTCTTGATCGTTGACAGGTATTGATGCACAGCAGTAAACGAGTAAACCTTGCTGTAAACGATGTCCATTATAATTAA